ACAAAGACCCCGGCCCCGCCTGGTGGAGTTTACTCCCAGCGGGGAGAGATAGGGGAGCCAAATCTAACATAACGAACACATAATTTAGAAAGCATGTTTGAAGACGATGAGAGAGAGAGAAAGAAAAGAAGAAGAAAGAAAACTGCCAAGGAGGGTAAGGGGCCTAAGAACTCAGAGAAGGCGATGACAATTTTCAACCTGGTGGTCCTAGCAGAAGAGACCCCCCGAGAAGGTGACATCTCAGCCAAGACTGGAAAAAAGAGCTAACCATGCAGGTATCTGGGGGAAGAGGGTTCTAGAAGATGGTTCTACAGTGGTACCAGGGAGAGGGAATTTGTAGGAGGTATGTAGGGAGTTAAAACAAACATTAGGGGTTGGAGGGCAGATCATGCAGGAACTTCCTGAGTGAAGTATGCAGCCACCGCAGGCCTTGGGCAGCAGGGTGTCTTGCTCTGATTAACAGAGAAGTGAGAAAGAGGCAAATGCAATATAGAGGGCTTAGTTTAAAAGAAACATACTGGGTCAATTTAAAGAACTTAAGAACCTGTGGATTAAGTTACATGTTGCTTTAAAGTAGCAGTAGGACCAAGTTTTAGAGTCTGGGTGCCCAGGATCTCGTTTTAGCCACCTGATCACCTCATTTAGGTCTCTGTGAAAATATCACCTCCCCCAAGAGGTCCTCCACGATTGCGTTTACCTAAAATCACAACCCCTTTCCCTGCTAATTGTTTTTTCTCCAGAGTGCTCATTATTCCTTGAGAATATATAATATACTTATTACTTCTTATTTTCTTGAATAAAGCATGAACTCCAAGAAGGTGAGATTTTGCTTGTTTGGTTATCACTGTAGTTCAACAACTACATGACTACCCGGCAAAGAGAGAGCCTTTGGTACCAGTTTGTTGAATGAATGAATGAATGAATATTCCAGGAGTGCAGGAGAACTTTTTTTAATTAAACTTTGTTTAGTTTCTTCAAATTAAGATCTAATTTAAGCAAACAGGCACTAAGATTGAGGCATAAATAAAAATAAGCTGTCAGTCAAATTATAGATTATTTTCCATCTTAGTTGGTTTGACATGTCTACTATTTAGAGTGTTGATGGTTCATCTTAATGTTTACACTGTGTCCTTCATAAAATTATTACAGTTATAGTGTAGAAAATTTTGGAAATGGGAGAAAAATAACTTCTAATTATATGTCCCTCCTGCCATGGCAACTAACATAATGAAAAATTTTCTCTTCTGTAGTTTTCAAAGTATGCTGCAGTCTTACCTGGCCTCAATATATCTAGAGATCAAATGCTTTCCTCTGATTTTAAAACTTTTCTCTAAAGCTCCTCTGGACCCTAAACTTCTGTGATTTTATATGGAAGCCAATAAAAAAATATATAAGCTATCGAATATGGTCTTTATTTCTAACCTATCTCATTAAATGAAGCATTCCTATGCTAGTTCCTATAGACATTTAGGGTTATTTTTCTTAGGCACAAACTCTCATTTTGCCTGATTTGAAATCATTGACCAGTTGGGATTTTAACCTGCTACGAAAAAATACAGTTTTGAGAACTGTCAGAGTAATAAAACCTCATTAATTCTGAGCATATCCTGCTCAAATAGTTATGAATCTCAAATCACTATAGTTTATTTTCATACTTTCTATGAACAAGTGGGGCATTATTAGGCAAAAATCAATAATGTAGAAGAGAATGGAGGAGAAAATCTTACCTACTAAAGAGAACAAATTGCTTTTCTCCACATTAGTGGCGTCACGCACACAAACAGTAGGACTGCGGCACCGACAGAGGCAGGACCCGGAGGGCTGCACGCAGGCGGATGGGCCGACATAGCAATTACGAATCAATGCGGCAGCTGCCCGAGACCACACATCCCTGGTGGAAATGATTTTGCTGCCGGTAACTAGCTAGAGTCATGTCTGCTAACATGAGGAGGTGGCACAAAATGAGGAATCACCAGCCAGGCAATCTGGAATGATTGCTCCCAATCTATGAAATTTACATTTAAAACTAACAAGTTGAAAAAAACGATTAAAGTCTCTTTGCTACGTGCTGTTCATCAGGTTGTGGCAAAACAATTTTATTTGGTTTACCCCCCAGAATCTCACATACAGCAAGAGGAATGAGATTATAGAAGGGGAAGGATGAACGACAGGACAATGACTCACTGAGAGGCTCAGAGGACAGCAAAGTGGAGGCGTAAACAGGGAATCGAATTAGGCCGTGGGAGACTGGGTTCTCCGTGGACGCTGACATCAGTAAGGACATTCTGAGGAGGTTGTAGACCTTCGTACTTTTCAAATACTCAGCCAAAAGGTGACAGTTACATCTGCCTTTCCTAACTCTTGGGCTTGTTGACAGGGTCACCTAGCGTGAGGTACATAAAGGGTTTGAAAAAGCATAAAGGATGATGCTGATGATGAGACTAACTAATAAGCATCACAGCATGTTAGCATTTCTTGAGAACCTACAGGTCTCCAGCCACTGTTCTATTTTACATGTACAGTCTCATGTAATCCTCATCACAACATTATCCACACTTTCAGATAAAGAAACAGAAGCACAGAGAAGTTAAGCAACTTGACTAAAGTTGCACAGCTAGTCAGCAGAGGAACTGGAATTGAATCCAAGTAACCTGCTCCCAGGGCTCGTGCTGCAAACTGCTGATATAATGTAATATAAGCTCATGAGGTTAATGTCCGTGGTGCTACAAAACGGGTGTTTCTATCAGAAAATCCCATAGCAAACACAAACCTGTAAACCTACTATGTGCAATGATGTTTTAATTTTAGTCCCTCTTTTCTTCTCCTATTCCCATCATCCAAACGGCAAACATTTTTGAGAGTCTAATCTGCATCAGACGTTATCTGAGGCTTGGGGGATCCTGCAATAAGCCTCTGAGGCCCCTGGTCTCCTGCAGTTTATGTGCTAGTAAGGAAAGTCAGTCAACAAACAAACAAAAAAGAGCAGGCAGTGATAAGTGCAAAGACGAAAATAAAACAAGAGGTTGTGACAAGTGACAGGTGAGGAGCAGACAACCACTATTGGAGCACAGGCTGCGCGTCCGCTCTGTGCCTGCCGACGGAGAGAGAAGCAGGTGTGAACAAGGTACATCTGCTCTCAGGGAACTGCACAGGCCCTGTCACAATGGCCTTCTGTTTCTTTCCCTATGAAATGGGGCTTTTGCTCCTACGATCTGTGACTTCTTTCATTAAGTTAGGAAGCCACTTAGGCAAGACTTATCTGAATCCAGGTATTAGATGTAATAAAAATAATGTTACAGTAAAACTGTATTTTCTCCTTTAGAGTATTTCTGAAGTTTTATAGGTGAGATATACGAGTTGCAGGAAGAGAGGAGGGAGGAGAGGGACTGTTTAATTGGATCTGATCAGGCTTTAGCTGGGACCGTAATATTTATATAAGCACTTAGGTGCTTATTATATCTGTAGTCACATGTTTTCCACCTCTCCTGGGGAGTGAATGTGGAGGAAGGGGCTTCTCACGAAGCACGGAGATTTAAGGTCAACACAAGGGGTGGGGGGTTGGCAGAGTGAACAAAAGGCAAGACATTGGAGAAAAGTGACAAAATTACGGATTCTTTTCCCCTGGAGAGCTTAATCAGTCAAAGAAGTTATATTCTGTACGGCCTTCCCAGAAGCAGACAGGTAAAGTGACTCACCACCGGGAATCCTTGGCCCCAGGAGGCTCTGATGACGACAGAATGTGCTTTGCGACAGTACAACCGCACACACAGCCTCCGTTATCCCTTGCCGCCAGGGCAGGGCAAGAGCTACGCCGCTTTCTGCTTGTATTTCAGGCTGGTAATTTGTGCTAAGAGAAAATACTTCAAAAGTACCACTGGGAAGCCCTGTGACAGGAATGGATGCGGGAAGATGTACCAGAGGAATAAAGACCAACTCACAAAACAGTGGAATCCGAGAGATGTACCAGAGCCCAGAAACCTGACCCGCCTTTCTGTATTAGGACACAAACGAGGCATGGAGGATACTTACAAAAACACGGTAAACCGACTGCCTTGGCAGAATTACAGGAGCACTTTGACTACCAGGATGAGTCATTAAGTAGGATATTATGTGATTTAATAATCTGGCCCAAGAAATAGCACCAGCCTGAGACAAAGGAAGACCTGCCACAGACAACTACTACTGATGATGGTAACGAGATTGGAAGCGACGGTCTGTTATTGCACTTAAAGCCCTAACAGCAGAGTGTGGTCCTCAGAGTGGGAGAGAAGGAAAAAAGGGAAGACAGAAGAGAGTAGAAAGTGTAGCTGCAAGTTCAATTTAAACCAGCAAAGCTCTTAGAAAAGAGGAGAGAAGAATATTTGATATACCGTGTAAACCACTGCATACATCCGTATTTAATGACAGCGATCCACTAGGCAAAAGGTATACAGTATTCACTGTTAACACTTCCGGACACACTTACAGAGCATCTGAAGCACTGTATATATTATCATGTAAAATATCTTATGTATATAATTATATATTATCATTTTCTGTCCTTTAATTTCTTCTATTTTGGGAGACAGACTACCCAAAAGCCAAACAACAACAACAAAAAACAACCTGTTAAGGAACTCCTAGTTGCTTGTGGATTTTTAGCATTTGTCTTGGGAACCCTACTGCCTGCAGGAGGCTAAGCAATTACACCCACCCCAGCTGTGTGTGTCTGTGCCCCAACACACTCACACCGGTTCCTACAGCATTCCCAGGGCCGCATCGTTTTTCTTAGCATCCTGTCGTTTCATTCCGATGCTGAGAAAAGAGATGTTTCCCTCCTTCTGTGTAATACTGAGAGCTTTGGCACTATCTGCTATGTTCTCTTTTCCCTCCAGACTTGTCTGCAGTTTTAGGGGTTCAGTTCCTGATCAAGTGATGCAGAAATCCAAATGCAACTCCAAGACATACGCAAATGGACTCCGAGCGTGGCTCTTCGGCCGGGGGGCACCAGCGCTCCTTACCTTTATCGTAGATTTCCTTCAGGACCCCTCGCTTGATCAGCTCTTCTCTGCTTTGCCTCATGGATATTTTCCTTTCCAGGGCTACATGCAAAAGGCAAAGAGAGAAGCAGATGTGAGTAGTTCACACAGCTGTCTGTTAAAGGGTCCGGTGTTAATACACACAGCAATGTAATGTATGGGGAAGCTTCTGGAAATTACGCTCTGCTAATGTAAGCTAATGAGATATGCTAGTTAATACTTTTTGACACTATCATAAGCCTTTTAACCAGAAGCTGTTTAATCTTCAAAATAATCTTCCAATTACCTATGAGGTAGGCATTTTTATTTAATTTTATTTAACCCTGATTTATGGCTGAGCAAACTGCAGTATAGAAAAGCTCAATGACTTGTCAGAATCATGCTGCTACTGAGAAAAGGAACCAGGATCCAACGCCAGAGACACTACCTCTGATCTCAGCTTAACCTCTACGTCATACTGAGCTTCCCCGAGCATGGCACTGCTGTTTCACTGACCTAGTTCACAGAGATCACACCTCGCTTAGGATTTTGTTGCTTTCCAACTATTTTTTCAAAAATGGTATGAAAATATCTTCTGAGCAGCTCTGTGGACTGGCCTCCCACGGTGCCAACGGGTGGTCGGTGACCTCCACGGGACGTCCCCACCGCCTTCCCATCCAGCGCTCCAAGACAGAGCGGCCCAGCAAAGATGGAATTGTTCGGTTATTGAATGTGCCTCTGCCACACCTGGCTGCGCACCTGAGCCCACCGCGCGGACAGGTGGGGCTAGAGGAGGAAAGAGGAAGCACCGAGCACGCTGGGGGACAGATCACGTGGAAGCAGAGCCCGGGGTGGAGAAGTGAGGGGCTGCCCAAAGCGCAGGCCCACGGCTCACAGGAGGCCCCGGGCAGGGCCCAGGGAAGATGGGGCCGTTCCCGCGGCTGGCCCTGCAGGCACCGCACGCACCGAATGGGGAGAGGAGCGCTTCATTCTGCTGCTTTTGTCAGCTTGAAAATCCCCACATCCTTAGGAAACATAATTATTGAGGGGGATAAAACTAGTTATAAAATGAAGAAATTATTTTATGCAGACACATTCAGATACAAATTAATTAACTACTCATACCCCTCAGTAGAATTTAGTCCAAGGAATAGGAATAAGAACTAGAGAGACAGCAGGGAAACTGGGATTGTGGTTCTAACTCTTTGTCACCCACTAGCTACTCAAGTCACTCTGGGTCTGGGAAAGCACGGATGCCTCAGCCCAGCTCTTCCAGTTTCGCAGGCCCACGATGGGACCAGGACATCCGGACTGAGATGAAAGCTCTCTGGCTTATTCTCAGGCACAGCTTGGCTGAGAGTCACTGATTACATACTCCGGAACTTACTAAGAAATGTCATATTCTAGCTCCCTCTCTTAAATTATAATGAAGTAAGTGGTATGAGAGCGAAAAGGAAATGTTAGGTTAGGTCGTAGTCACACAGAGCTGACGGAGAACATACTAATACTGGAGACGTGCAAATCTACAAGCACAGAAGTGAGGGCAGGAGGGGAGGGTTACACAGGACAAGGGGCAAAGATGGGTGCGGGAACACCAGAGCGGCGTTTGTTTTGGGGGCTCAAGAGTTTTGCAGCCCAGACCGAAGGACATGATAGGGTGGCAGGAAAGCAGAAGGATGTTCTCTGTGCAGAAGAGAGCTTGGGAACGGCTGGAGAAGGGATAGGGAATTGCATGCAGTTGGGTTAGAAAGTTCTGCCTGATTTGAAAAGATCTGCTTAGCAGCACAGTGGCAGATGACTGGAGGGGGAAGGGTCACGGGGGTTTTAAGCAAGGAGTTTGTTACAGGTCTTCTGGGTGACGCAGCCACCAAATGTAAAGAGATGCTTTGCCATCCTGTTCTTATCCACATAAATCGGACAGATTTCTCTTAAACAAGATGATGTTTCTCAGGGGCTTTTCAGAACCACGGACTAGAGTGGATGGACCTGTCCACAGCACTGCAGGAAGCATCTGCAACGAGGTGGGCAGAACCCTGGACTTGGAAGCCCAAGACGCCCATAGCACGTGGATGTTCTCAGGCCAACCACTTAGCCACCCGGACCTCAGCTGTCACTAATCCAACCAGTATGGATCCACCGCACATGGTGAAGGGCACCTGCCAGGGCTAGAGGTGGTGGTGACCAAAGGGACAGCCCCTGCCCTCATAGAGTTTACAGATAACCATGACATTCAGTCTATCATCAAATAATGACGTTATCTAATGTGTGATTACAAACTAAGTTCTCTCAAAGGAAAGGGACATGGTCCTATCAGAGCATGTGATAAATAATGTCCCCTCCATGGGGTATTAGAAAAAGCTTTTTTTGTTTTTAAGAGACAGGGTCTCACTCTGTCACCCAGGCTGCAGTGCAGTGGCATGATTACAGCCCCATCTCTACAAAAAAATTTAAAAATTAGCCAGCCGTCGTAGGGTACACCTATGGTCCCAGCTTACTAGAGAGGCTGAGATGGAAGGATTGCTTGAGCCCAAGAATCTGAGGCTTCAGTGAGCTCAAGCAATCCTCCCACCTCGGCCTCCTGAATAGCTGGGACCATAGATGCACTCCATCATGCATCTATACATAATTTCATCTATGATGAAAATTAAATTTTCAATTTTTTGTAGAAGCAGGGTCTTGCTATGTTGCCCAGGCTGCTCTCTAATTCCTGGTCTTGAGCAATCCTCCTGTCTCAGCTTCCCAAAGTGCTGGGATCACAGGTTTGAGCCACTGCACCCAGGCTGAAAAGGATCCCTGAGATGAGATTTGAAAGATGAATATATCTTATCTCAGCAAAGGGCAGTCAGGTAGGAGCTAAGGGAAATGATCCAAACAGAGCAGGCTTGGCAA